CTTAGTTTGTTGCATAGTCCCTAAGGTCTTAAAAGGTTGCAAGAGGCCATTCAAATCACAATTGGTCTCTATTCACCTGGAGCAACAGAGGAAGAAGGAGAATTAGGAATAGGAGGAATATGTGGAATATGTGGCTAATTGCCTCCATGAACAACTGCCTCCTTTGCCAGGAGACCAGAAGAACTGGATAGTGCCTGGCTACCATTACTGAATATTTTGATCAAATATTTCAGAGAGGAATCCAGATCAAAGGGGGAAAAACGCAGAACAGAATTTCCAACTCTCATGGACTCCAGACTTCCTAGAGCCATGGAAGGTAGAAGAACCCCTGAAACTATTATCCTATGATACTCTTTAAACCAAAAATATCCCCTGAAGTCAACTTAAAATTGAACAATAGCTTAGCTTAACTAGTAAAAAATATCTGCCTTGAGCATTATGCTCTTTTAAGAACTAACTATATGAGATCGAATTAACAACAGCAACTTGAAAGATTAGACAGGAACCTCAGGGGCCATTGAGTTTATGTTAATGAAGGTGGAACAACTCAGAAAAGGAGAATGAGAATGTTGTACAACTCTAAGAATGTAATCAATGCCACTAATTATGTATGTAGAAACTGTTGGATTGGTGTACAGTATTTTCCACATATAATGTACCCATGTAAATAATGCTCACACACACATAACATAGAAAACTAATGCGCAAGGGGGTTGCACGGCTTGCCAAAACCTTAGTAATGTTTTGTTATTTGCATAAATATACACAACAACTAAAGAAAGAAAATTTAGAAGAAAAAGAGTAAACATCTGCAGGCAAAATAAGCCATATTAACCAACTCTGTCCTTTGTAGGGCATGTGATTTATTCCAGTCTTCACGTAGGCTCTAAGAACACTATCTTCTAATTCTGGGAAACTTAGAAATGGTATGTATGACCTTGTTTCCAATGTTCTTGACTCCACAGCAGTGGAATCATGTCTTTGGTGAAGTGTAGGCCAGCTCCTTTCTGCACTGTTTTCATTGCATTTCTCATTTTAGCTAACAGACCCACACATAATCAATTAAATGGAGTTTTGAGTAGAAATTACAGCAAAGAGAGAATGGTCAGGAAGCCATATGTCTGTGCCTGAACTTCTGATTAAGCTCTCTTGATGAATCAAATTTTAAAAAGACATCAAACAAGTATGTCATCAAATTATTCTTCCAAAATAATGGAAGCGACAGCAAATGCCTTAAGTGAAGGCCATGTTTTAGAATAATTTGTTCCTTTCTGCCAGTACTAACTCTTAGATAAAGGCAAAGTAGAAATAGCTAGGAGAGAGTAGATAGATTGTTTTTAATGTGATTATTAATTGTAAAAATAAAAAGAGAGAGAGAGAGATAATTAACTTTTAGCAATTAAGTGGAGAGCTTCTTTAAAATATACTGCTTTTGTTTTTGTTTTCTCCCCTCCCTGGGCAAGTCTCGAGAGCTCTGGTGGCTTAGTGCCTAAGGCATTTGACTGCTAACCAGAAGGATGGTGGTTCAAACCCACCAGCCACTCCTCAGAAGGACTATTGGGCAATCTACTTCTGTAGAGATACTGCCTCAGAAACTCAAGGAGGGGTCACTATGAATTGGGATTGACTTGAAGGCAGTGAGAGTTTGGTTTGAGGGCAAGTCTCACTAAGAAGATTTAAAAAAGAAAAAAAAGGCTAATGGCTGGAACACTGCTAGTGGTGAAGGATAGTCTCATTCTCTCTACATTCACCTCTCACGTACCCTGACTAGAGCCTTCGTATTGTAAAGACCATTCAAGCTCAATCAGGCGGGGGTCATAGAGCAGGGAGAAGACCACCTGGTGGTTAAACATCTCAGGAGTTCTATGCTCTTTGCAAGATTTTTTAGTGAAGTTAATGATCGCATACAATTCTTGAGGTCAACAGGAAACGAGTTAGAAGGTAATAAATATTAAATGTCCACTGAATACTGTTGAGAGGCAACCAACGTAAACATCTGTATAGTAAAAGATGTGTGTTGGTCATTGTGTGAGTGTGATTTAGGATTTAATTCCAGAATCACCTTGCAATATGTTCTGATGCTATACACTGTTGCTACTTCTACCAACACCACCACTAATAATAAGAGCTAACCTTTATTTTTGAGCAATTACTATACCAGGCATTATGAAAAAATTGTGTTTGAATTTTCTCGTTTATTTTTCACAACAACCTATGAGGTAGATTGAATCATCTCCCCTTTATCAATCAGGTAAACCAGATTCAGATAAAGTCAGGAATCTGTCCAAGGTCACACAGCTCCTAAATTGGGAAGGCAAGATATGAACTGAGTTCTGTCTAATCCTGAAACACATGCCTTAACCACGTTTCTGCTGACATGCAGCACAGAATTTAAGGATGCATGAATTTGTTTTCTAAATGCAATAGGTTCAACGAATATTGTAAATCAAATAATTATCTATTTTGCAGCTTCATGCTCACATGTGAAGAAAAATACTACTCTTATCCCAGGCATTCTTGTTGTACTTTGCATTTCTAAGAGCATATGTTAAAACTAAAGAAAATCCCTTGCAGATGTAAGGCATAGGCTGGTAACACTTGCCTTTCGCTTAGATGGTGCAGTCACCTCCCCTCCTCTCCCCTCCCCTTTCCTTCACATAAAAGGCTAGGTTTTCCCTCTATCTTCTCTGTTCTAGGACATGCATCACAGCTTTACTGTCGACAAGATTTTCTTAGAAGAAAGGTCTGTGACATAAAAATTCTTGGCATTTATCACTTTTAATATTTAAATTAAAATTAATACTTGATTTTAAAGCATTATCACTTTTTAGTGATAGCATCATCCACTTCAGTTTAGAAGACAGAACAGACAGCTTTCATTCAGAGATGGGGGTACATAACAGCTTTCTATTCTTTCCTCTGTAGCCACTCAAATAGAGACTAGATTAGCCAACCTGGACTTCCTACAAATGGGTTAGGAAAACATTTGGTTCAAAATGAACTTTTAAGAAAATAGGAAACCTGTGAAATTACAAAGTTTACAAAAGACTCTAATTCCTACAATGACCTGGAGGTTAAACACACACACACACACACACACACAATGAATTACAGTTCTAAAGAACCTTTAAATAATTAGTCAATACTAACAATTCGGAATCGACTCCACGGCAACAGTTTATCCAGTGATAGTAATCAAATCACCTACTGTCGTAGATTTGAGGTGTGCGCTGGGAGAGATGAAAATCTGTAGTTTGCTTAACATCTTTTCTTCCTTGTTTTGAAAAGTCCATCTCCTCGAGTCCCCATCCCCCACCCCCTTCTAAAAGGAAAAAAAGGGGGGGGGTAAGGGCGAGCCCTACGGGTGAAAGCAGACTCCCGGCCCTGGAATCGGGGTTATCTTAAGCTCTTCTAAGCTATTTATTTAACTTGTATACAACCAAGAAAAAAAAAAAAAGCCACTACTCTTGGGTCCCTGGGACAGGTTCAAAACCCTGGTGACCCACTTAACACAATAGATTGTTTTATTCAATTCATGTCCTGGCACCATCTCGAAAGGGAACATAAACAGACGCGCACACCGCTCGGATTTGCTCTTTCCAGCAGGAGATCCAATTACCTACTGATAGTCACCTCTCTGCCCCCCACGCCGAAACGATTTAAGAAACGATTTTAACCCGTAACTTCGAAGTTTGCTTTCTGTCTAAAAGAACCCAGATTCCAAGGTGGCTGCAGAGAAGCAGCAGGGCTTGGCGAAGGAAACGGATTCAAGCCAGTTCTAGACACGCGCGGAGGGCTTCGCAGCAGAGGCTAGTCGTCTCCCCTCCACCCGCCGCAACTCCCGGGGATCGTTGCCAGAGCGCCGCGCGGAGAAATGCCCAGCTGGGGAGCCCCCAGGACGGCCTTGGGGGCCGAAGACAATAATGCCAGGCAAGAGCAGAGAACTCGTCTGTTCTTCTCTGTAGTGTACATAGGTTTCCAGCCCGCGAACTGATAGCCCCGATGGCCCATTGCTTCTTAAGCTTCAGAGGACTCAGAGGGGTGGGCAAGGCAAAACTGCGCGCGAGGACTAGAGCGACCTGGGCGTCTAAGCCGGGCACCAGCCATCCTCCTGCCGCCAGTCCTGCGTTGTCCGTCGCCCATGGAACACAGAGGTGAGGCTGGGGCCTCTAGGGCAGAGATTATGGTACCTGCGCAAGGGGGACTTGGCCGGTTGTCGCTGCCCGGCGCCTGAACTTGGTTTTCTTGACGTCATTCAGCCAAGGCACTCGTGGAAACGGGAGAGGCATGGCCGAGGGAACCGAGCGCCCGCTTGTGCGTAGCCAGCACATGTGTGGATTCCGGGTGAGCCTGCGTGCTCGCTGGACCACGCGTCCGCACTGCGCACCGCACTCGGGCTGTCCACTTACCCGACCCTCTGGTTTCCAAAGCGGCTGGACCCGGCGGCTCTGCTCTTTTCAGCGCGCGCTTGCCCACTTCTCCATCTCACCTCAGGGATGGGCAAATGGACCCCCGATTTTCCAGACCCTCGAGCCCACAGCAGGATCGCTTGAACCTCAAGGAATCCGATGAGAGCCTCAAGATGTCACCAGCGCTAGAACAGTGCGTCGGACACCTGGAAACCCTCTTCGCGCAACTGGCGGCGCCGTCTGCGGCCGAGACGCAGGTCCTCACGTCGCATCCTGCTCCGGCGCTCCCGCCTCCCTACTCGTACCTCCTGGTGCGGACCTCGCGAGCACCAAAAGCGTGCTAGCAGGGCTAGTGAATTCGAAACGAGATGTGGGGTCATCCTGCCCTCTCCTGACATCCTTTCTCCCTGCCTTTGCCTGAGGGCTGCGCGCCGTGAGGTCACGGTAGCCGCGACCTCGGCAGGAAAGACCCGGCGGCGCCGCCCGGGAGCCTCGGGCAGAGCACTTGGAGGGCTGCCGCGGGTCTGCACCCAACCGGCTGGCGTGGTTTGCCCACCCACTCCAGTTCCTGACGGGCGCTTCCTTACTCACCTGTCAGAGCGGCGGATCTTCGAGGCCTGCGCTCTAGAAGCGTGGCGCTGCGTGCGGCCGCGGCCCGGGCCGCCCGGGCTCGGCGCGGGGTCAGCGGGACAGACAGAGATGCTCCTGTTGCTCGCTGGGTCGCCCGGTCCGCGGAGGGCGCACCGAGTGCTGGGCATCGCGCCGTCTCCGGTTTAAATGCCGGCGGCCGAGCGCGACGCCCGGGGCCGCGCCTCTTCATTGGCCAGGCGCCGTCGCCGCCGCCGGACCCGCTATCCACCCCCTTTCCCGGTACTGCCCCCGCCCCCCCCTCTCCGCCCGCCTCGCCTCTTTGTCTGCTCCCCCCGCCCCGGCCGGCTGGGAGAGGTCACCCCAGGGAACCGCGCCTGGAATGCACAGCAAATCACATTTTCCGCTCCCGTTGGAGGGGGAAGCGAGGGAGGAAATCCCCCCGGCTCTCGGCCCCTCATTCCTCCTCCGCCTCAGGCCTGGGCTTTTCCTCTCGCCGGCTCCGCTTCGCCTGCGCCGGCCGCACGGCGCGTTCTGTCGCGGAGAGTGTACCGAGAAGAGCAAGATGCCCGTGAGATCACTACTGATCAAGCGATTCTCTCCCCGTGCAAGGAGCGAGGCTGCGGGACCGTGTGGTCGAGAGGTCGCCACGGCTCCTCCCGCGGCCCCCAACTTCGAGGGCGCTGACCCCGGCGCCCCCGTTAACCCCGGCGGGCTTGTCCGCCGCCAGCTAGAGCCCTGTCGCCAACATGACACCCTCCTCTCCTCGCCCGCCACGGTTCTTTCAGCTCAGATGCAGGCGGCCTCGGCAGTGAGTGAAGAGAGAGGAGGAGTGAAGGAGAATATATGTAAAAGGACTCTCAAAAGTAAAAGTTTTCTTTGCTAGCGATCTTTGAAATGGGAGGGAAGAGTCGCTAGGCGAGAAGAGGTTTTCTGTAGCAAATTAAAGATGGATAGATAAATCAGGGAAACAAAACATCCAATGAGAAAATAACAGAAATTTCAGAGGAAAATCTAAGCGTAAAGACTGATGTCGTGTTCTATATTGATTACTAAGGGCTAGATGAATGCGTAAATGTTTTTCGAAAGATGAGCGAACACTTTGATTTGGTCTCTTGGCTTGAACATCGATTCTTCCAAGAGGCCGTGAGTTTTGTGTTTCGAGGTTACAGTCTATGCAACAATCAGACCGTCACCAAGATCTGCAAAGCGGCTCCATCAGCCAGGTCAGAGGGTGATTTTGAAACAGATTTGTAATAGAAGGAAATTTAAAGGTGTCTGTACTGACGAAAGCAAAATAAAACAGTGGATGCCATCAAAAGGTACTTGTGAAACATCCGTGATTTAAGTACTTGGCTTGAAGAAAACAAAACAGAGTATTTTCTTTTTAAGGAGGCACTAGGAGGAGGGGGGCGAGTAATATTTTGAGAACCTACTAGACACTCTTAGGAACTTGAAATTGATTTTTAAAGTATTTGAAGCAAGAAGGAAGTCTGCACTAAATTAATAGCTGGAGGATCCTAGTGTGTGAATGTTTTGTTTGTGCAAACAGCAATTTTCATACATGAGCTCAGTGCTGCACTTTTTGTATTTCTCAATACTTTTTTGTTATATCATCTCATGAGCCATAGCTTATAAATGTCTGCAGGATGTGAACATTCAGTATGACTCAAAAGACCTACTGTGGTTGGACTGAGCTCCCAGCAAGATAGATAGAAATATAAAACTAACAGTTCAGCTAAAGCCCACCACCAAACTTTATCCAGTCAGTTATTTCTATGTGTACACTATTCCCCAAAGAGAGCATATTTCACAAATTCATTAACTTTTTCAGATAGTAGCATATATCAAACAACTCAAAGTTTTAGTCAGAAACGTTTTCAAGGCTCATATAAACTGCCCCAAATAAAAACAGAAAGTGATGGAGCTCACCTCCTGAGTTGGAAGTGATTGCTTTGGAACCCTGATATAGGTTTCATGTACCTCTATCTCAGAGTCCCTAGGTGGTGAAAGGGTTCATGCACTCTGCTGCTAATAGAAAGGTTGGAAGTTCCAGTCCACCCAGGGGTGCCTTGGAAGAAAAGCCTGGTGATCTACTTCAGAAAAATCCACCATTGAAAACCCTAAGGAGCACAGTTCTATTCTGACACACTTGGGGTTGCTGAGTCAGAAGTAACTCCATGACAATTGGCTTTTATCTCTGTCTCTCTATAGTTAATGTTGATGGTCTCTGTGATCCTTCCTCAGGAGGCTACCTGGACTGCATTATCAACAATAGAAACACACACACACAACTTTCTATCCTATTTCATTGCATCATTCTTCTTTGTGGCCATTTACCTCTCCCTTGGCATTATAGTTTTCTCTGCCTCTCAAACTTAAGTTGCATGAGGATAAGGTCTTTGCCCATCGTGGTTACTTTGATTACACCAACAATAGATCATAGAGTACCTAACACAGAATTGGGATTCAATAAAGAGTTATGGGTTGAGAATGTTCAACACATTCCTACTTACTACTGTACCAAAAGCTGAGGATATAATAAACACAAACCTTGGCTTCACAGAGCTTACAGTCTAGTACATCTGTATTTATATAGATATATCCCAGCTGTTTGCTTCAGATTTGCATTTCCACAGTGCAAACCATTATCCAATCAGGACAAGACATAAGAGTGAAAACTCCTTAGACCTCTTTAAGCATAATTACATAATGAATCCTGCACTTAAAGTAGTAGAATGGCAAAATGCTGTCAATATTAAAATTTTAAATCTGAGATGCCTAAAGAATGATCACTTTATTTTATTTAATGAAATTACTTTCAAACTACTTTGGAGCTAGTGTGAGAATTGTAGATTTTGCTCACCTCCTGGTTTGTAGAAGTAAAGTCCTTTCCTCTTGGTTTGCTCACCTATGTATAGAAGAGTGGCCTAATCTCCAGGGGAATGAACTTTGAAGAGTTATGAAGGCTTTTGTAGGGAAGTTTTTATTTAGATCTGCAGAAGCTGTTTACAATTGTTCACCCAATTGCAGAGACTATGTATGTCATTTTACATTCGATTAGAAAATATAAGGCCTTTTATACATTTGGAATTAACCTTGTATACTCTTTCTGGATATAAATAAATGCATAATGAATTTGAGAGTGGTTAAAAAAGAAGATATTTGCAGCAAACAACAGTTAAAAGATTCATATCTAAAATGGATCTTTCCTCTTATAAATTACAAATAACCTAATGGAGAAAACGACTGGCAAACCTGACAATGCACAAAAGGAAGAAAGCTGAACAACCAATAGACATATGAAAAGATGCTCAGTCACCCCAGTAATTGGGAGAAATGCAATCCGAATCAAGAATATACCCTTACTTATCTATCAGATCTCTGGTGGCATAGTGCCTAAGGCATTTCACTACTAACCAGAAGGCTGGCGGCTCTGACCCACCAGCCACTCCAAGGAAGGAAGACTGGGCAATCTACTTCCATAGTGATACCGCCTCAGAAACCCAAGGATGGGTCTCTATGAGTTGGATCTGACTCAATGGCAGTGACTTTGGTTTTTTGGTTTAGCTATCAGATTAGCAAAGATTTAAAAGTTTGACAGTATCTGATATTGAAAAAGGTATAGAGAACATATACTCAAATCCACTGAAGGTGAGAGTTTTAATGGGGGTATATAGTCATTTGAGAAAGTAATTTATCAATAAATGATAAAATTAAAAAAGCATCTAGTATACCTCCCAGCCATTCCAGTTCTATAGGAATAAGCACTTACACAAGGATTAGAAATTTGTGTGAGCTCTTCTATTGAAGTATTATTTATAACAATCTTGGTGTCCATCAACAGGAGTAGGAATAGGCATAGGAAATTATTTTATTCTTTTGACAAAATACTATACAGCTTCTAATAGGAATGGACTGGATTTCATATTTCAACAAAATGCTCAAAAACATAGTCATACATGAAAGAAAATGCAAGTTACGCTATTATGCCATTCTGTATATCTTATAATAAACATAAAACAATAGAATAAATGATAATGAAAACATACGTGTTCATGTAAATATGTAAAACAGTGGACTGGAAACTAGACCTGTGGTGGTGCTCACCAGCATGGGATGGGTGAATAGAGGGTTGGGGATGGCAGACAAAAGAGAGTTCAGCTCCACAATGTTGTGGTGTTCATTTATTTTTAAAAAATCTTGAGACAAAAATGACAAAGTGATACTTCTCATTCCTAGGTCATGCGTATATGACGCTTGTTATATTTTGCTCCATATATCTTGGTATATTTTTAAGTTTGTCAAAATTAAAACAAATAGTCTGATCTTTCTATCATGATTTCAAGAAGTATCCTGATCATCATTTGTACAGTGGCATTTTCACTTCCTCTGTGTCTTCTGTCACCAGCTCCAATCAGGGTAGCCATGTTTTTAGAACACACACAAGCTTTCATTGGTGTTTGTATGTCTCCCGATCTATCTGTGGTCATCTTCTACCTATGTACCTCATGTTCTACATATAAGTAGTAAAATGTTTACCAGTTTCCTGAATGTGAAAAATGCATGTACATGTGAAAATTCCAAACAATGCTTCCAGGTATAAGTATGTGAAAGGAAGAATTAATCAGACCATTGGAAGCCTGATTCCATACAAGTATTTATTGCATGTACTACATGTGCAGCCCAATATGCAAAAGGTGAACATGTTTCTTCACAGGCCTTCATACAGGCACAGTGTGAAAAGCACTGAACTTGAACTCAGAAAAATCAGAATAAAGTCTTGACTTCCCCTCGTAGGATCTGAGTGTCCTTGGGTTAGATATTTAACCCCTCTGAGCCTAAATTCATCATCTGTATTGTAGGAATGGTAATAATATCTACCTCAGGGTGGGTGATGAGATTAAGTAAAATAAGCTCAGTGAAAGAACCTGACACATAACAGATACCTAATAAATGTCAGTGTCTGCATGGATACTAGAGTCCTATTGTCTAAAGCAAAAACCATAAAAGTGTAATATCAGTAATGGGTCATGTCTTATATATATCTTTATATTCCCAGTGCATAATGCAGGGGATGGCACGTACTAAGTGCTTATTAAAGTTACTGAGTACTTGCATTGGTGAATAAATACATGAATAGGGAAGAAGGGAG